TCTGCTAATAGAGACAATTTATAATCAAAATGTACCAATTTTGGGCGTTATAGGGGTGCTAATCCTTCCCTAAACGTAACCGACCACGAATCCCTTTTTAATACTAAAAAGAATGAAATTTTGGTTAAACGCATACCGATTTATCTTTTAACTGATATTTTCTTAAAAACTCTTTTAAAAGGTGATTTTGAGGTATTCGACCTACCTAACCCAAAAAGGTCGATAGCGACTCCAAAACATTTTCATTAAAAACCATTTATTCATTCACTTGCTTTTCCGCCAAGGAAAATTCATGCCCAGGCGAAAACCGGTTACGACAGCTTGACGACTTCGCTGGGGACTCTGGTCAAACCTAAATCGATTATATATTGTCTCTATAAAATTAAAAATCAAGAATTCAGATTTATAATTTTTTATTTCTTTCAATTATTTATTTTTTTTATATCATTCTATACTAATATATTTTTTATTGATTTTTCAGATATTAGGATTCAGTTTTTGTTTAGTGTTTGTCAAAGGTTTGATAATTTATGCTCACACACAACACGTGCATTGCATAAACATAAGCTTTATACTTGAGCTATTTTCCCTTTTAAGTGGGAGTGAAAGCGACGTCTTCGTGAGAATTTATTCTCCGTGTCAGACCTAGCAAGTAGCTTTCGGGTTTCATATACTCTATGTCTTCGTGAGGATTTATTCTCCGTGTCAGGCATAGGGAAATGTGTCCCCTCGAATTGAACTTGATCCGCTTAAGTCTGTAATGGACTAGGATTGAGGGTTTGTAACCCAAGGGGGCACCGACAAGGACAATTCGAGTACCTTTACTCATAGAACCAAAACCCTACATATAATAAACCCTAGAAATTCGCTCGATCTAAGACCATGCCGAAATTTTGTCCAAAATAGGTGTACACAAAGGAGAAATGAACTCTAATTTTTGTCTTTTAATTTATTTTTTCTGAATTAGAAATTATGTGAATTAGGGATTACAATGTTATTTAAAGTATGTTATGTAGAAAGCATGTTTAAATAAAAAATAAAATTTTCCTTCCTTATTATTTGAATTAATTCATTTTATTTTTATGTTTTTTTCTTTTATTTTTGTTATGTGCATGGCATCATACATGATTGAAGGTATTGATCTTCGAGTTAATCGTCTCATTGGAAAGCATTCATCAATGGACAAAAAGTATTCGAATCAAGTAGTTCCAAACTCGGAGGTACGACAGTGGTCTGAAGAGTTGCAAAGATAGGAGGGAGACAGTTTGCAAGATTATTATATGTTAGACTTAGCAGGTTATGCTCCAATTTTTCTCAAAAGGAATGACGTTCAAGACCTTCGAAGCATTTGGGAAGAATGAGATTCAAATAAAAAGCTGCAGTTTTACCAGTGTTATGAGGACATTCCATATTTGCTTTATGTTGAAATTGATTATGAGTTGCTCCGAGCTTTGATTGTATTCTGGAATCCAGGATACAATTGCTTCACTTTCAATAAAGAAGACATGGTGCCTACTATTGAAGAATCAAATTTATTCGAGGTCAATCAAAACTCAACCTTTCAGAATTAAATTGGCCAAGATTGCAGGAGTACACGAGGAATGAGTGGTTGCTCGTACAAAACAAAAAGGAGAAGGTGAAGGTATTTCTTCGACCAATATTAAAGAAATCATTCAAAGTCATCCAGATGATAAAGTGCGATTTGACCTCTTTGCTCTGGGTATATATGGGCTAGTCATCTTCCCGAAAGCTTGGGATATATCGAAGCTGCATCAGTGGATTATTCGAGCAATTACAAAAAAGGGTCAATCATGTCTCTGCAATTCTAGCAGAAACCTTTCGATCATTGAGTGATTGTAGAATGCTAGGAGGTGGAAAATTTTCAGGATGCGTACAACTGTTATATGTCTGGATCCGCAACCATTTTTGGAGGACAAAAAAGGTCTCATATCGTCGCTTTAATATGGACTAATCACCTTTGAAAGAGTTTCTTGAGAAAGAATGGCCAAAACAAGTCACTAAAGACATGTAGATGGATGCCCTTAGAAATTTGCAAAGCATCGACATCGTTTAGTGTGCTCCTTGGCAAATACAAAGAGAGTTCTTTTATAAATGTGGTGACTACAACTGGGTGATGCTGCTAGGCTTATGGGGAGGAATTGGATATGCATCACTCCTGGTTATAAGACAATATGAGGGTCGTCAATTTTTTTCGATTACTGCTGGGTTACATTCATCTGAGTTTGCATTTCATGGGAACAATTACAAAAGAAACATCCTTGATGCAGTTAAAGCATGGAAAACAACTTTCTGTATTCGAGCCAAAGCAGCTAAAGTAATGTTAACCCCTGATTAAAAGAAATGGAGGACTGTTAGAAAGAATGAGATTATTCCTCTATCTGACCAAAATGAGTACATCTCTATGGAAGATCGAATTCGGATAGCCCCATCAGAGATAGAAATTCTAAGAACTGAATTTAAAGCAGAGAAAGAGGGTTGGTTAAAAGAATTAGAGCATATATAACGAGATAAAGTTATGTGGGGTGTCGATGTTGACTTTCATACTGCACAATTTGTAATGCTCAAAGAGAACAAAGAAAAAGTAGATGGTGTGTTGAAAAAGTTAAAAAAAAATTAATATGAGCTGCAAAAATCCAGGACAACATCAGGATCAAGCAGAGCGACAACACAGTTGACCAAGGAGTTAAACATTGAGAAAGGCAAAGTCAAAGATTTGAAAGCGAAAAATGGTCGTTTACTCAAGAACCTAGAGAAAGGGAAACAGAAAATGGAAAAACTTGAGGTCGACAAAAGGGAGCGAATTATAAAGTATAAAGCTGAGAGTCGTGAGGTTATGAATGAAATGAAGAAAGAGAAGGATCGAGTCAAAGAATTAGAAGATATGAAGAAGTGCATTCTCGAGAGATTTGAGGTTAAGAAGAATATCATGTTCAAGGGATTTAGGCCGAAATGAATAAAATGATTGTCAAACTTGAGGTTAGGGGACAAAAAATTGAAGAGTTCGATGTTGAAAAGAAAAATAGGATTTGGAGAGAAAGAACTTCAATACTAGACTCGAAGCAGGGCAAGAGGTAACCAACAATTGGGTGAAACGATATAGAGACAAGAATGTACAGATACAGAAGCTTAATCAAAGGACACAAGAAACATGAAAAAAACTTGAAAAGGATTTGGATCAGTGTCGAAACAAGAATACATAATTTAATGATTACATCCTGAAACTTGAAGAATCATTATTCTAAGAGAAGGTTCGTCTAGGGCCTAGTGACCTTAAGGAGAGTTATGAGGAGAATGCTTACTACGAAGGCAAATTCGGAATCTGGAAAGTACTCTGCAAAGCTGTCAAGTGTGAATCACTGAGTTAGAGCAAACTCTCCAAGGAACTAATGAACAATGACAAAATTTGACTGTTTTTTATGAAGGATGAAGTGAAGATAGAAGCAGTTTGGTAGTCAAGGCCATGATACAAATGAGTGAAGTTCCCAGGTATATTGGGGAGTTAGCTGTTGAAGTAAAGATTAAAACTTATTTTAACTTTGGAAAAAATGATTTTTGAAATATTTGGAGTATGTTTTATATTATAATTATATGAAAACTTAGAAATCATTTTGGAAAATCTTAAAATTCATTAACTTATTTTTATTCAAATATCAAAATGTTTCACAAAGATAAACATTCATTAAATAAAATTCAAAAAATAAAATGAAAAAGGTTTTCAATCACAGATTCCTAGCCAAACAAAAAACAACACCGTTACGGTACTAGGAAAGCAAGTAAGAGAATGGAAGAAAAGATAGAACGTCTCGAGGAAGAGCATAAAAAACAAGAGAAATGAGAATTAAATTAGAGAAGATTGAGGCTACATTACAAATTCACTAATGGAGATGCTGCAGAAATGGAGGATATATTCAAGAAACAATCTAAAAAAAAAGTCATGTTGAAAATCCTACATCTTCTGACCAGGACCCCATATATCCTACAGGTTTTACTTCAGAATCTACTTATCATCCTAGTTTCACACATGTACATCCCTGCTCATGCTTGGACACCTCAAGAAGCCTGACCTAATGAAAATCAACAAATAGGTCCCACATCTTCAAATAATAATCCACTTGTGTCAAGTATAAAGATAGGGGAAGTTAATACCGAACATCTAACTTCGGATCTGAATGAGTTAGTCGAGAAAGAAAAAGCAATAAAGAATTTACTCGATAGATCAAGAGCCTGGAAGAAAGAATAAAATCCATAGTTCGATGCTAGTGAGTTGAGTTTAGTCCTAACGTAATTCTCCCTATTAAGTTCAAAGTTCATACTTGAAAGATATGATGTACTACATACCCTTCGTCCCATATCACGATGTTTTATCGTAGAATGTAGTCATGTGAAATATGAGAAATTATTGATTCACCGTTTTCATGACAGTTTGGCATGACCATCCATCAAGTGGTATACTCAATTACTAAAGCTCATATCAGATCATGAAAGATCTAGCAAAAGTATTTCTAGAACAATATCACCACGTAACTGACATGGTTCCTGACAGATGAACTCTCCAAAATATGGAGAAAAAGACATGAGACATTCAGGCAGTACACTCAGAGATGGCATGATACAACGACACAAGTTCAACCACTGTCAGAGAAGGAAGCCCCATGATGTTTGTACACACTTTAAAGGCTCCAAACCTAGGCCATTTAATGGGAAATGCAACCAGGAATTTTGTTGATTTGGTCATTTTGGCAACTCAAAAGTGGCAAGATCGAAACAGTGAAGGATCTAGTTCCAAAAAGCCCATGTATCGGAAGAAGGAAAACGAATTAATAATGTGAATGTTTACAACAAAGATACCGCAAAAAGTGTTATGATAACCCAACCAAGGGTTAAGAAGAGGAAACAAACACGAATCGAAATGAATCCAGAGGACCTCACAAGGAGATGAGAGGTTTTCCTTTACACCACTGCCAGTGCCTTATTCTGAGATCTATGCTTCATTATTAAAGGTAGATATAATATGTCCTTATCCTTTGACTCTTATACAATCACCATTCCCCTACTGGTATGATCTAAAAGCACATTGTGATTACCATGATAGAATTGTTGGTTATTCCATTGAGAATTGTTTAGCCTTTAAAAGGGTAGTTCAAAATTTGATTAATGTTGAGAGATTGAAGTCCAATTCACCAGTTACATCAAATCATCCAATACCAAATCACGGAGATAAAGGGGTGAATGCAATCCATGAAGAGGAAAGCAAAGGTCGATGTTTCTGAAATTAGTCCCATCAGCTAGGGTATTCCGGCAACTCTCCCAAGCTGGTATGATTCATCAAGATTTTAAGCCAAAACCTAATGATTGTGGAGATTATTGTGAATATCACCAGGAAAAATGACATGAAATTCAGTTATGCCTTGAATTTAGGGGATTAATACAAAAGTTAATGGACAATAAAGAGATAGAATTCTTCAAGAAAGATGAAGGAAAAAGAGAAGAGGATATCTGTGCATCAGAAGATTCCAAACCTCTGCATAGAACAAGTGAGCCTGTGGTTATCACTGTGAAGCCATCTATAATTAATCCCGTACCGGTAAAACCAAAAGTGGTTATCAGGATCCCTTTACCATTTCTGTTTAAGATACCCGTAAGGTACCTTAGAATTATACTGCCAACATTTCAATGGTAGGAGGACCTAGCTCTTCGAAAAAAATAGAAGAAAAAGATAAAGCACATGGAATTGATTTGACAACTGAAACAGTGAGTGAAGTAGGGTTTTTTCACAAGAAGTGGGAGATATTACTCTCCTGAGACATCAAAAGAAACAGACAATGCAAAAGCAAAAGGAAAAGGAAAAGCTACAATGGTATAACAGAAGGTGATGAGCCCCCACCAACAATCAATGAGCCAATAACTGAAACACAAGCACTAGAGTTTTTGAAATTCTTGAAACATAAAGAGTATAGTGTAGTTGAGCAGCTACACAAGCAGCAAGCACGAATTTCGATTTTGGATTTTTTGATGAAATCGGAAGTACACCGAAATGCTTTGATGAAGATGCTTAATCAGACATTTATCCCTGAGGATATCTCTCTAAACAAGCTTGATAGAATTGTGGGACATATAGCCGCTGATAACTACATAACATTCACTGATGATGAAATACCTGAAAGTGGGATGAGATCTGTAAAAGCCTTGAATATTACTATGCATTGTCATGGCCATGTTTTTCCAGGGGTATTGATTGATAATGGATCTGGTCTCCATTTGATGCCATTGGTCACACTTCAAAGGATGTCTGTGGATAAATCACATATGAAGAATTATCATAACGTAGTGAGAGCATTTGATGGTACTCAAAAAGAGATACTGGGAAAAATGGAGATACCACTGTTGATAGGACCAGTAGTATACAACATTGACTTTGTGGTAATGGATATTCACCATACATATAATTGTTTATTGGGGAGGCCATGGATTCATTTGTAGGAGTTGTTCATTCGTCGTTACATCAAAAACTAAGTTTGTTATTGATGGTCAATTGATATGTGTGGGAGCTGAGGAAGAAATCATTGCTTTGTGCAAGTGATACTCCATATATTGAAACAAATGATGATGCCCTTGAGTGTTCTTTCTGAGCTTTGGAGTTTATCAATGCAACCTTTATTACTGAAGGAGGTAAAATTCCGCACCCTAGATTATCTGATTGCACTAAAATGGTTGTACGATAGACTTTAGGCATAGGAGCTAAAATGGAAGAGGTTTGGGAAAGAATCTTCAGGGAAGTTCAATTCCTATAGATGTGAAGATGAAAAGAGATCGTTTTGGACTTGGATTTAAGCCTAATTTTCAACAAATGAGCAAAGAGATGAAGAGAAGAGTGAAGATAGAAGAGCAAGATTGAAAGAAAAGAAATTTCATGGGACGCATGTCTTTTCCTCATTTGAAGTTCACATTCAAATTTGGAGGATAGGTTAATGTAGAACAACAACTGGTCGATGCTTTTAAAGAATAAGAATTGATGAAAGATCAAAGCATGATTGAAGAAGATATGAAATAATTGTTCATCAACATGATCACAAATTACAATAAGGCTGACATATATTTGTCTGGGATTCGCCTTTGTTTTCCTGGGAAAACACTAAACAACTGGACTGCGGAGGATCTCCCTATAGTTTTTAGGATTAACTCAGAGTAATACCCAGAACCAACCTTTATGCTTTAGCCCATGAATATGAAAAGTTTTTGTTATTTTGTAATGACAGTTATGTTAAGTCTACTTAATATCAAATATAAGATGTTTTCTTTAAATTCTCAAATGGTAACCATTCTTTTCACATTTTTACATTATTTACATTCATTTTTTCTCATTCTTTAAATTTACTATGTCCATTTGAAAATATATTCGATTTAAATTCCCTGTGCAGGTGTCACAATGTTAATAGCATGATTATTCTGAATTTAATCTGAGATAAATTTAGAGCGGCCTATATGTTTGGAAGAAATCAATGAGTGTGAGGATGAAATAGAATGTGATGTCCCTACCGAATTGTTAAGACTGGTAGAAAAATAAGATAAACAAATCTTACCTCACAAAGAAGAGATTGAGACTATAAATCTGGGAACCAATGAAGAAATAAAAGATGTGAAGATTGGTACTACTTTGTCAGTCCAGATAAAACGAGAATTGATAAATCTCCTTCAAGAGTTCAAAGATATCTTCGCTTGGTCTTACCAAGATATGCCTGGTTTGAGTACAGATATAGTGGTGCACAAACTTCCGACCAGTCCATAATATAAACTTGTTCAACAAAAGCTCAGACGAATGAGGCCAGAAATGTTGTTGAAGATTAAAGAGGAAGTGATGAAACAGATTAATGCAAGTTTCCTACAGGCATCCAAATATCCATAATGGGTAGCCAACATAGTTTCAGTACCAAAGAAGAATGAGAAAGTTTGAATGTGTGTTCATTACAAAGATCTTAACAAAGCTAGTCTAAAAAATAGCTTTATGTTACCTCATATAGACACATTAGTGGACAATACTACAGGACATGCATGGTTTTCCTTTATGGATGGCTTTTCAGGGTATAATCAAATAAAAATGAATCCTGAGGACATGGAAAAAACTACATTTGTAACCATGTGGGGCACTTTCTATTACAATGTAATGCCATTTGGATTGAAAAATGCAGGGGCAACATATCAGAGAGCAATGGTAACTCTGTTCCAAGACATGATGCATAAAGAGATTGAAGTATATGTGGATGACATGATTGCCAAGTCTCGAAGTAAAGAAGAATATATTCAAAATTTAAGAAAGCTTTTCCAGAGATTGAGAAAGTATCAATTAAAGCTCAACCCCGCTAAATACACTTTTGGGGTAACATCAGGAAAGCTTTTGGGATTTGTAGTCAGTCAAAAAGGAGTCGAGATTAATCCAAATAAAGTAAAAGCAATTCAAGATCTTCTACCACCCAAAACAAAAAAAAAAGAAGTTCAAGGCTTTTTGGGGATATTAAATTAAATATCTCGATTCATTTCTCAATTAATTGACAAATGTGATCCAATGTTAAGTTACTTTGAAAGAACAATCCTGAAGTTTATAATGATGAATGCCAAGAAACTTTGGATATTATTAAGAAATATTTATCCAATGCCCCCATTTTAGTATCACCAGTTCCTGATAGACCATTAATTCTCTACTTAACAGTCTTTGAAAAATCAATGAGATGTGTACTGGGACAACATGATGAGTCTGGAAGGAAAGAAAAATCCATTTATTATTTGAGCAAGAAGTTTACTGATTATGAAATTCGATACCCACCAATACAAAAATTATGTTGTGCTTTGGTGTGGGCTACTCGAAGACTCATGCAATATATGTTATATCATACTACTTGGCTGATATCCAGACTTGATCCCTTAAAGTTCTTAATGGAATCACCAGCTTTGACAGGCAAAATGACTAGATGGCAGATGTTATTATCCGAGTTTGATATCATATATGTCAACCAAAAAGCAATAAAAGGAAGTGTCATAGCAGATTTTTTTGGCTAGTCGTGCATCAGATGATTATCAGTCCCCGAGTTTTAATTTTCTAGATGAAGATTTGTTGTGCATCTCCATGGATAAAAAGTCAGATTAAACGATGAATTCCGAAAGCTTTATTTTGATGGAGCATCCAATGCCTTGGGACGAGGAATTGGGGCAGTGTTAATTTCTCTAGAAAATATCTACTATCCTTTTACAAGTAGATTGGAGTTCTTTTGCACCAATAACATGGAAGAATATGAAGCTTGTGTCATGGGATTGAAAGCAGCCATAGAAAGAAAAGTTAAATTTCTCAAGGTATATGGAGATTCATCGTTGGTGGTGTATCAACTACGAGGAGAGTGGGAGACAAAAGATCCAAATTGTTGGAATACCGAGATTTAACCCTCGAATTGGTAAAAGAATTTAAAAGGATTACATTTAATTATGTCCCTCGAGAGGATAATCAAATGGCAGATGCTTTGGCCACATTAGCCGATATGTTCCAAGCAAATAAGAAATTGGAGATGATGCCAATCAGAATGCAAGTGTATGAAATTCCAGCACAATGTTATAGTGTAGAAGAAGAGGCAGATGTCAATCCATGGTATTATGATATCTTGCAATATATCAAGTATCAAAGTTATCCACAAAATGCATATGAGATTAATAAAAGAACACTAAGAATAATGGTTGCAGGATACTTTCTTGATGGTGAGACTTTGTATAAAAGGAGCAATGATCAAATGCTATTGAGATGTGTATATAATAGAGAAGCAAGAAGTATCGTTGAGGAAGTACATAATGGGATATGTGGAACACATGCAAATGGTCTTTCTATGGCTAGAAAGATAATGAGATATGGGTATTATTGGGCTACCATGCATACAGATTACATTGATTATGCAAGAAGATGTCATAAAGGCCATGTATACGCAGATAAGATTCATGCACCTCCATCGCCCTTACATGTAATGACAATACTTTGACCATTTTCTATGTGGGGAATAGACATCATTGGGGAAATCACACCAAAATCATCAAATGGACATCGTTTCATCCTAGTGGCAATCAACTATTTCACTAAATGGGTTGAAGCTGCTTCATATGTCAATATTAAGAGATCTACAGTTTGCAAATTTATAAAGAAAGAAATAATATGTCGGTATGGGCTACCAGAGAGAATCATTACGGATAATGCTCTTAATTTAAACAATAAAATGATGACTGAAATTTGTGCACAGTT